TTTTCTACAAAGAAACAAAACCGATTTTAATTGCCTATTTACATCTATTCATGTCGCCATGGTAACGGGATTTACGTCAGCTTAACTATTGTAAAAACAAAGTTTGTGTTGTTAACTTGCTTGCTGCCAATTTTGGTGACCGAGATATCAAGGGTTTTAGAGAAAATGGTGAAAGAAACAAAGGTATCAAAAATTGTGTTCAGCCACCTTAACCGCCTTTACTGTCAACACTTAAAGCCCGCAGCAAGCACGTGTTCGACGCTTTTTTTTTTACTTTGTTTACTTCGCGGATTGGATTTTGAGACACAATTGGCAAGCTTTAGACGCAATCGTATAATTTGATGCCTAATGAAATTCGATGGGCAATAATCTTTTAATTTTCTTGCATTGGAACCGTATATTTTTGGTAGGTTGGAAAATATAAAATGCCGGAATTCGGAATTCGGAACCGGAATACTTGGAATACTTGGAATACTTGGAATACTTGGAATACTTGGAATACTTGGAATACTTGGAATACTTGGAATACTTGGAATACTTGGAATACTTGGAATACTTGGAATGCCCGGAATGACCGAGATGACCGAAAAAAGATAAATGAAAAAATTATTATTAATTGAAAAAATAAATTTTAATAAACAATTGGTTAATTAATAAAAAATAAAAAAAAAGTAGGAATAAAATTGATAAGGGAAAAAAAAATCAGTTCTCTATCACGAATAAAACAAAAAAAACCAAAATTTTCACTCGATAAAATACAGGGGACCACCTGACATAAAAAAAATAACTACCTATGGCACTGTTCACGAGGATGCACATGGTAGAACTACATATGGTTTACAGCCTACAATATACAAATTGAGGCCGAAGATTGCTTCAAGGTAAATAAACCAGAAGCGTGGTTAATAATTGACAGACATGAAGTACTGTGGGTTATAAGTGGAAAAGTGGATGTAAATATGTTAAGTACATGACAAGCGAACCCAAAGTGTGACTGCTTTATTCTCTCTTTAATGGAGGTTCTATTTTAAGTAATTTGTGCAAGATAAAACGACTAGATTTATCGCGGTATAATTAACAGTCTGGTGACGCAGTTCCGTCCATTGCTCCATATGTTCTGAACCGCAGCTTTACAACTCAATCAGTCTCGCCTCTCGCCTCGCACGCATCCCCAGCTCGCTCGATTTTTCGGTTCCCTCCCATCTCTCCTGTTTATTAATTTCTCGTATTTTTTCTTTCCTTATTTCCATGTGTTGTAACTTTGTTACCTTCGGCAGGGGTTTATGATTGTATTTTTTTAATTAGGGTGGGTGGGTCTCGTTTAAACGTCACTTATCAATAAAAAAAACTGTCAAACTGTCACGCTAACACTGCATGCTGTTTACTGTCTAGGACGTGTCTACCATTGTTCGCAAAGAAACTTTGGACCATCTCGTGGCATCAACTTCATCAAGAGTATAAATCTCCAAGCGCCAATAATTTTTAAGAGCAGCGCCTCTTTCAAAGTCATTTCCAAAACTACTAAAACTGTGTTCTATGAATAAAACTTTATCATTTTTCGGTCATTCCAGGAATTCCGAGTATTCCGGTTCCTGTTCCGAATTCTATCATTCCTTCTTATCCAACCCACCTATAGTTTTGTACATTCCATCCATAAGATATTCAAATTTACTCTTTTCGGCCTGCCATCAGTACAGTGGTGGCATATCATGTTTTTTCCAAATGTAATATCTCACGGATTTCTTGTTTTCATGTTTATTATGAATGTATTTCCAAATAATCATCTTAAAAGTTTATTCATACACATAAAAGATATAGAACTCGGAAAATGTTAGCCTTTATTGGTTTGTCTTTTTGGCTGTCTTCACAATTCGCAAGGCACTTCAGAGTATATATTTATATTTCCTGTTATAGCTTTTATTTGTTTTTTTCTTTTTTTCGGTTTTTCGTTATTTCTAACAGGATGTCATAGCATTTAGCAGAGTTAGGTCAGAGCCAGTTTCTAAAGACTCGGGGAAGGTGATGGTTGATCATAACTCGTGGACCTTTTCTTTCAAAGCTCTTAATCGAGGAAGTGTTGTCGATGATGATGGTAGAAGAAACCTTTCATTACTTGGATATCATGGGGATCATTTCAGCCCAAGTTGAAGATGGCGACAAATGTGGGTTCGCTTGTGCAGCCAACCTAAAGCATTTTTCATACAACTTAGACGCAAGTATCTCCGTGACCGGAACGGGCCTGTGTGAGCTACTTCCGTGAGAAAAGTATAAAAATTCGGATAAATTCATCAAAAGCTAGAGAAAAAAAGCCTCAACATTTCATAAAGGCATGTGTAAAAGACAAAAGTGTAAAAGACAAATCACATGCTGATTTTGCGTCTGATGGCTGCTACAAGTCACCAAAGCGAGTACAAGATCTAACCCCAATCTTGGCAGGCTCTCTTTACATCTCACCTGCCGACTGAGAGGTATTTTATCTTGGTTGGAATACCTTTTCATCAACTCAACTGCCATCAAAAACGATTTACTGGTTTTTTGATCCAATTGGCCATCCGAACTACCCCACAAAGACTCTTTACATGCTACCGTGTTACTTTTAATAGAACTACTAGAAACTACAATTCAACTTGCTGAAGGACAAATTAACGATATGCTTTGCGAGTACTAAAATAATTATAGTCTAGCTAGGTTGCGCCTCGTGTGCCTCGTTTATGGTCCTGCTACATTTTGACGTCATCTATGATTTATTAATAAACAGATGCAAGACAAAATGGAATCTATTTTTTAATTTGATCACATTTAATTGTAAAATAGGGTGAAATGTAGAGAGGATCCTTTGTTGTTCTAGGCAACTCGCTCAGCTAATATGGCCTATTTCATCTATGATAAAATAATTTTGATTTGACATTGATGGTCATTTTTTTTTTGCGTTTGTTGCTTTAGATTTGAAAGTCGAAGTAAGGTCACATAACGAGCCTCACGCCGTTAGCAACCAAAAAAAGTCTAGGTATCCAGCAGAGAATCCGTACTTTTAGTCCGCATTCTCTGTTGGATACCAGTGGCTTGCTTGGGTAAAATTTTTGATCGTATTTCGCTCCTAATCTGATAGAGGCGTCAACTTTTACACAATCATGTCATCATCCTATGGCGTGAAAAGGTAATTAAAGAAGCCGTATCCGAAAAAAGTGTACATGGCCGGCGCTTAAAAATAGTGACAAGACAAAGCGCTCGCCCGGAGTGTGTTGCGGCAGTTACAGTCACGTCGAAGAAACATTTCTTAGTCAATGCTTGCGGATTTAGTTAACTTCATTAATACTGACATAGGCTGCGACGCTTATTTACTACGACATTTAACTGGCGGCCTGAGTGTTTTGTTTTCTAATCAATTTTACCAGATTTTTGTTTTCGGATCGGAAACAAAGTAAATTCCAGAACCGACGACTTTTTTTCCGCTGTGTTCGGAATCTTTGACAGCTGACGCTTGGTGCTGTAATTTTTGAGCATCCGGTTACCAGTTATTGGGAATAAACTCGGCGTATTACAACCTATAATTTCTTTTGCTGTTTAACGCAGAGTCCACAATACATGGCGGCTTTTTCTCACTGATATTTTATGTCGCATTTATAGTTTACACACTGTTCCAGTTTTTTTAAACGATATTCATGCAGTACACATAAGATTCTTTGTCACTGGCCTTCATATGACCTATATTGGTGCCGGAATCCTCTAGATAGTTGCGAGAGATTACAGACATTATAGGTACGATGTGATTAACGCACTGGTGTTGAAAATCTCTTTGCGCTACCTCCTCCGCAACGATGATTAAAATCGTGAATAAACAGAGACCGGGGGTAATAATAATTGTTTTCAAATCAAGATAGATGTTGAACAAGCTGACAAAGCTTTTAAACAGACAAAGACCAACTTTCGTTTAATGACACGTTACNGTGATATTACAGTAAACCCTGTAAGTTGCATCTCACCTTTTTAAACATGTCTTTATGGAAGAATTCTACCTTGATGTCACCACAAATTGGAATTGGTTGGCTCAGCTCAAACAAAAGTCCATCAGAAGATTTCTTTCTCTTTGAAACAAACATTCCAGCACGAATGACAATGAAGATGACTACCACTAACAATAAAAATACGATCCATAACAAATAACAACAATAATCAAACATTGGTTATGTAAACAGTGTACCACTGATAGTGCAAAATGTTGACAGCTAAAAACTGTAAAAAAGTATGTAATATGAGAGCCAGTAGATTTATTGACAGTTTTCCCATGTTTCCCTGAATAACTTAACCCAGTCACACACGGATGTTCAAGATTACCTAACTGTTGGGCTAGTACCCTCTTATATTTTGGGGTACAAAGAGGTACAGCAAGAGTAAAGAGTCTTACCCAAGAGCACAATTTAATAGCCCCATCCACTTACGCAATAAGGATGATGGCAGATGTGATGAAATCTTGTCACACCGAGTGAATGTTCATGGATTTGATGATTTTGACCAATTTAGTCAAATTTGTCAAAGGGAAATCAGCTTGGTGCAATTGACAATTTTGACGAATTTCAATCAAATTCAACAAAGCGAAATCAGCCTGACAAATTTGCCAATTTCGACAAAATTGTTGTGAAATCTACCATTTTCGTTGCTGCATGTAATTCTGAAAGTACCTCACCCTATCAGGGATAGAACTTTGACCAAAGCAAACTTGGCATATTTCCATCCCCTTGCTGTTCATGATTAGCAAAGCAGTAGGAATTAAAAGTACAGTGATTAAACACTCAAGGGAACCATACCTCAGTAACTTTAGACTGATATAGCTTCACCTTCTGTTGCCAAAGGATGTAAAATGGATCTGAAAGCAGCCCAAGATATTACATTAAAGGTAGATTTGATTCCTTTAAGAGAAGTTCAGAGTCCAATCAATTGGACTTAGGAGAAAAGTGCTTTACATGATTTGTCCATTCTATTTGAAGAATTCAAAAATATTCTTATCAGATTCAAGTGTGCAACCTGCTTCTCATTCCCAGTGTGTACCTTGGTGATGAGTATCTACACATTGGTACCCATCAATGGAAATTTCACTTCAGACAAGATTTAAATTACTGCATGTCAAACATTATAAAACAGTTGGTTCATCTGTAAGCTGTGCTTTCATGAAGATATAAAGCACCTAGGGTGTTTAAAGAACACTCTAGAAGCTGGGCTTGCTCTTGGCTGCACTTTAAGCAATCCTTACAAATCTTTGGTGCACTAAAAACTTTGAGTGTGCTTTAGTCAAAACACCTTAACCCTTTAACTTCCAGAAGTGATTGACATGTAACTTCTCCCCATTATATCCATACAAACAACCCAGCAAACAGGTAATGAGAACACTCAAACTTCTCAGGAAGAACTTGCCATCTTGATCTAACACCACATTCTTGCAAATAATTTACAAGGAAATGTGTGGCATCTAGAGGGGAGATTTAACAACCAGATTTTGCAACTTAAAGGGTTAACATCACTTTGAAGGTAATTTATATTTATTTTCCATTTAGTCATAGATCACTTACTGAAGGTGAAGTTTTGGAATGTACGCTCAGAAAGCAACTCAATTTTCTTCAATAACACCATTGTGCGAACGTATTGTAGTTTATTTGTTAGAAGATGATTGTAGTACAGAACGTATCTCCTTTGACTGGGAATTGTGACACCTCTAGCATTTCTTGTTCTTGCTTCTCCATAATAATTCAGTGCCTCTCTGGTTTTCCCAAAATGGCCATTGTGAAGCAAATATGCACATATCATAACTCCTGTCCGACCCTTCAAAGAAAACGTAAAGAACAAATGATGCAGACGACGAATATAGCTCATTTATAACCTGTAAACTAGGGCCCAAGCACAAGCAACTGCAGAGTTGCTAAAATGATGAAAGCACCCTTGCAGTGACTTTTAACAACTTATCCTCTTTCAAGACAAATTAAGGACTTTGACAAGTTTCATTGCCTGCCACCTTTGGTGTTTTTTGCACAGTTTCATTTGAAGGATAATTTCATTATTGAATGTCATTTCCAGTGTTGATATGAATCATCATTTAATTGTAATTTTATCCCATCTCTGATACCAAACACATACATGTACATGTAAGCCATGTTTGACATTCTCCCTTCTCATAGCTAGGGCTGTAAGTTGATTAGACCATCCTAATGACATTGCAAAGCCAAAGTTTAAAAGCCTACCAAGGTTCTCGATTTTAATTACAGTAAGCTTCTTGAAGTATCCATAATAACATAAGTCGCATAATAACACTAAAAGGATATTCCATTTTTCATTTAAAAAGGGTATGCATGAAGAAGGCTTGACATAAATAAAGACAAACATTTTGTGCGTGTGTGTGTGTTGTCACAAGCATTGATCAAAGAAAACATTCCCAGTTCCCACGAGGAGTTGAACCTCAACCTTTGGATTCCTCACTAGGAGAGATAATACCACTGAGCCACAGAGGCTCAAGTGAGGCCATTATAAGGTTTCTACCGAAAAACTTCTTGGCTCTCATAGTCTTTTCCCTCATGAGCAACAGAGGTTCAATTAGAGGGATATGCTCTTTACCTTGCCAGATTTGCAGTGAATAAAAGCTACATTCTGCCCACTTTCATTCAGAAATTCATGCAAATCCAAACAAAATGGCTCAATCAGCTCAAATGGAGGTGCATTGTGGTCATCAAATGGATAGGTGGTAACTAAAGAAAATAAACCATATCAATGTACCACACAGCCTATTTTTTCTTTTTTTTTACTTTTTAACATACAAGCACAGTAATATAAAAAGAATAAGAAAATAACCTTTTAGATTTCCACCAACAGAGGAAAACGCTTATTTGATTTCTGACACACAAGAAACATTCAAAGTACCAGTAATGTTATTGTGGAAATATTAAACAATTCATTTATTTCTCAAGGTTTTGCAAACGTTCTTCAGCTTTTCTTAATACAACACAAACATGAGATAAAAACTATGGAAATGGCAAGCTTTAATTTAAAATGTAGGTAGTATTATTCTCTTACACAATGATTTTTGGCCTTTCAAGTAACCAGTCCTGCAGCTGGCTTGTTCAATGCTCACCAAAATTTACACAATGGTTTCTTCGTCTTTTCACTAGCCAGCCCTGTGCTCTTTGAAACAAACATT